TTTTTTCAGTTTAAACCATCCTATCATTGAGAGATTAAATACAAACCTGAATTTTTAGGTTCTTTCAAAAAACTGGACAATCCACCAACAGCTAACTCCATGACAAGAATCTAGGTGGAGCTGAGTAGAGGTTGCTCCCTTTTTAAGAAATAAATGCTCTTCTGTTAGTTATAGGACCAGTTATACCTACTATGTCCCTAAGTGGGAGACCAAAAGCCATATGCCTTTTACGATTGTGTTAAAATGTTTATGGGTGTTAAAAACATATCTGTACCCATGTCCCCACACACTATGGGTCTATATGGAGACCATATATATTGTGTTATTATCTGGCCCCCTTTCCTCTTTTCTGATCCTTGTAAGCATGTGAATTGATTATCCCTTCTCAGAATCCTGAACAGGAAGGAAGGATTCATGAACCCAACTCTACACTAAAGCTACAATACTGAATTTTTCCAGCTGTCAGTTCTAAATAGATGAAATTTTTATGTGAACTCTCATTTCACTTGAAACATTTCCTCACTCTGTTTTGGTCCTTTCCCAGATTTCTTCTAACACACATTAGAAAGGAACTAGAGGGACACCTCAGCTTCCCTAATGCCTAAACCAAATCTCTATTTCCTGAAACAGAATACTCTTCAGATATGAATACAAAAGTCATAAAATGTATAAGGGGGAGAGAGAAGAAAAAATTTGTTAGTACAAATGAAATCACATAAAAACATCACTTTATTGACACTAATAACTTTAGGCAGTTTGGAGAACACTTAGTTTACACTGAGACAGAGAACACCATGTATCCCTGCGAAAGTATGTCTGGCTCTTCTAGGGGAAAATGTGCTGTAGGTTTTCTGTCGAGCTTAGTCTTACAGCTTCCACCAGAACCAACTCCTTTCCATGAAATGCCCCCTTAGGATATGCATACCCTGTAAGTGTCATAGCCCAGGCATACCTGACTGACTCATAACATGAAGTTGAGCAACAAACTTAAAAGAAAATATATTTCAATCTTTGCTCAGTTTTAGGCCACTGGGCAAGGCAGAGGATTATACTTTAGGCAACTTTCACATACTGACCTTCTAGGGCCCAAGAAGAGTGTGCTCTTCTGAGGCTGTTAGACACAATAATTCTGGATTCAGATCCTTTGGGTCTTTTGTCTCCTAGAAATAAATAGTTTTTAAAAATCAGTAAAGGGATCACAATCTGATAGTCCATTAGAAGATAAAAATGTTGATTATCCCCTTAAGCTCACGACACAAAAAGGGCTGGTAGAGAAGCAGCCACCACCCACCACATAGTAATTATAGGATATAAAAGTCATTGTTATTGGATAAATCCATGAAATGGTGAAGAGCAAGAGCTGAGATCTGGGGAGCAGGGGGCTCCGATCTGGTGCCGTTTTGTATCCACTGAGTCTCTGACTCTCGGGGAACAGGCTTACAGAGGTGTGTCTCCCACTGGGGCTGGGTGTGCATCTCTGCCCGGCTCTTGCTCCTAAGGTGACTCTCTCCTTCACAGTAGGTGACACAGCAGCGACAGGCTGCAGAGGGCTTCCCTCTGTGCTTGGACATGGTGTCTGCGGCTGGAGAGGCCCCAGCCGCCCTCCCTGAGCTCTGGAGTCCTGGGGGCTCTTTCAAACGACTCCTCCTCCTCTGGACATGGTCCAGACTGATGTCAGACTGGGAGGAACAGCTTTCATTCCAGCCAGAGCTGGCACTCAGACTTCTCAAGGGGAGAGCCAACCGCAAGGCCTTCCAGAATTTAGAGCCAGAATGTTTGGACTTTTCTCCCTTCCAGCTCACAAAAGACACAGATTCCTTCAGCTGCAGGATGCCTGGGTGTGGGTGCTCAAGGGGCCGGTACTCAACGATGATGAGTTTAGTGGCAATGGAGTTCTGGCACATGATGCCCAGTTTAAACTCCAGCATGCTGATGCTCTTTTCTGTCACGTAGTCTGGGCTCAGGACGACGATCATCCTTCGGCTCCTCTGAATGAAATCAAAAACTGCTTCCACCGTATCTATAGGAAAATGAAAGATAGGACAGTGCCTATTGAAAACTTACATGATTTCCAGTTCATCATCATCCATCCTACAAAGGACAGGCAATGAATAAATACTTGAGCAGATAAGATCTCAGTGTGAAATCTCAGTGTAGATGGTTAAGGAATCCATCTACACCACTTTCACCAATTGTTGTTAAGCTTCTGCTACCTTCAAGGATGATGAATTTACACCTTTAAAAGCAACTAATTTTAGTTCTGTTTGTAAATTATTTCTTGTTTTGAAATATTCTTCCCTGCCACTTTTATTGGGTGGTTGTAACTTTGGCACCTTCAAATATTTGAAATATTTCACTATTTCAATATTGAAACTATTTTGTTCTCAGTGTATTTTCTTCTACCTCTAGATTAAATAACTTGAGGATTTTTATCTTATTTTCCATATGACATGGTATCAAATCTCTTCCCCATTTGATCATTTTCCTCTGAATAATATTCAGTTTATATGTATCACCTCTGAACACAATGCTCCCTCCTGGACATAGTCTGCTCAGGAAAGAGCAATAGGAAATACCATGTCCTGAGATCCACAGTTATTTCTGTTTGATACTTAAAAATTTTGGACCCAACATCTGACAACTCATACTGTTGACCCTGTTGTCAGTCAGAATTCCCTTCTTTCTTGTGTGTATATGTGTGTGTGTGTGAGAAAGAGAGAACTGGTCTAAAATCAATGACAGGGGCAACATTCACAGTCAATTCGCTAAGACTGACAAAGCATTCAGTTCTAATGGTTACTGAGGTGGATTTGGGCAGATCCCAATGGCAGGTTCTTCAGATAAATGCAGGGCTTAGCACACTATGATATTTAAGAGTTTCAACAATGTGATTTTGTGAAGCAAAGGAATTCCAAATGTGTAAATCACAGCCATTGAAACTCTGAAAATAGGTTGCTGCAGACAGACCCTGGGGTTGAGTGCCTGCGCTTCTGGGGTCAAGGTGAAACAGTGATGGAGAGACTTCCTAGTCTGTGAAGACAAGCTGAATGTTTGCAGTGATATTTGATCATTGTGAACTTGATAGAAAATGAAGGAAAGAACTGTACTCCTTATCAGATTAGCTCCTTGCAGTTAGTGAATTTGACATGAATTTGAAGGGAAATTGGAAGAGACACGTGCTCACTTTTTAAGAGCTATTGACTGGTTTGTCAAGAGTGCCCAGTGTTTTAGAGAATTTTTGTTTTGGTCTTAAAAGATAAGTCTTAATTTTCACTTACGTTTAAAGTGTGTGTGTGTGTGTGTGAATGTGCATTTCTGGAAACTTCTTTGTCCTGTCTAGTTTTCCTGGCCCTAGTCCTGCTCAGAATTTTATGTAGTTGCCATTCATAAGCTTGACAGTGTGAGAGTAGGAAGCCGACTCCTTCTCCTGCCATAATATATTCGATATAACCTCAAGACAGGTTTTTCTTTAATTCTTGGTACCTACCTTGAAAGTGTAGAATTTAAATTTGAAAGAGGGCAATGCTAAAAAAAACTGTTGTGAATTGTGGCATTCCCTGCACTGAGGAATGGATGTAGGAGATGATTCTTAGAGGGGGTTGGGCTATGTTTAGGGTTCTTTACACAGCACTTTGAAGGAAGCTGCGTCCATATTATTAAGACTTCATATCTAAGGATAAGAATTGTTATATTTTAATGCTGATGATTATTTGGAGAGAGAGTCATAAATACGGTGGTTTGGCTGAAAAAAATGAGGTGCGGCTGTATACGGGTAAGACCAGTTTTCTTGGGTGGTACTGAAGTGGTTTTGAATTTCTGGTCTGAAACTCTTCAATACTCCAGAATACTCCTGTCTTTAAAAGTCATAGTCTCCCTGGAGTTTGCCTAGAAGAAAATGAGGGCTGTAATTTTGTTCTTTGGCTATTAGTGTATGAAGAGCAGCAAACCCCTTTCTTGAAGAATAGGACAAAACTGACAGGCAGTTAAAAATGGAGGGGGGACACATAATTAGGAAGATGGATCTGAATTCAAATAGTGGTTTCCTCATTTATCTTCATCTCAGTGTCTCTGAGTTCATGCATCTATAAAATGCATATGAGCACACACTTGCAGGGCCCTTCAACAGCTTAGAGATACCTATGTGTAAATGCCTAGCACATGGTAGATGTTTAAATTAACCACTGTTGTTAAATTATTATTATTCAATGTCTAGTAAGCATAATATTAAAAATGTATGGACCAATGCTGATTGAATTCGAATCAACTCTTGATAGTAACTTTAGAGAATCACCTTAATATCTGGATTTATAGGAGACTAATGAATTGTAAAAATTCTGCCTATTCAGTTTAAAATAAATGTGAATAAAAAAAATACTAGTATTTTCAAATATTCTTCCCTGCCACTTTTATCTCCAAGCCCATTGCTCTCTCTGCCTCTCTTTCTCCATACAAACACACACACACACACACGCACACACACATACACAACCTGCTGTACTAGAACACTCCAATTTACTTAATTATCTTTTATTGACATTTAAGAAAATATTCCTCAGATGAAGTTTGTATTTTTCTCAGATTTCTCAGAAAGAGAACATTTATAACATTTCTTTTTATGTGTAATATTAATTCTCTTTATTCTCATTTTTATGCCCAAACATGAAAAGAAAGACATGGAACACATGCACAAAATAAAATGCAAAGCTGAAAATAAATGGTTTATTTTTTAAATAAACACATTTACAAACCAAATGGAAAGTGGAAATACAAAAGTTTATGAATAAAATAAAAAAGATAATCTTGAATTATTAAAACCTCTGGAAAGAAAATGAATCATTAACAAGTGGAGTGATGCTTTTGTTTCTTAATACAGTGGTGTGCTTGTTTATTAGAACTCTACGGAATCATCCAAGTTACAATATAGAAGAGAATTTAATAAATTTTATATGATTGTGTAATTAGATACTGTATATATCATGGTTCTTTGTTAACTTGTGTGCAGGTCTTTATATAATAAACCTAAAATCATTAAGTTTTTTTTTTTGACATTAGAGGCATGGTTAACACTAGAGAGCAATTTCTGCTTGCTCTCAAAATTATATTTTCCCATCTCCCTCAAACATTATGTATTAGGCATCTTCTGGGACATAAAACAAATAATCCTGAAACAAAATTCTCTTATATCATTTAAATTTGAGATGCTTTAGATTTCAGCACTTGGAAAATTTCAGTAACAAAGATAGGAATATAAATAGGAAAAAAAAATCAAAAAGTTTCTAGGGGCATACAACAGCATCTCAGATAAATATGGAATCCAAAAGTGCAAAAAAAAAAAATGCAGCATTGGCAAGAGAATGGCCCCTTGATGATGGGACTGTCTCCCACTTACCTAAAGCTATGCAAAAATTGATATTCAAAGTATATCTGGAATCAGCTCTCCTGTGGTCTTGCAAGTGAAGGGTTAATAAGAGAAGTAACTGTGTTTTGTAATAAGGAAAAACATTCATAAAGCTAAAAAATGATATCCAAGAGTGATTCCATACAATAGTTTTATGGTAAAAAATTTATGAAGATTTTGTTTTAATTTAAAATAATCAATAACACCTCTATAGATAAATGAGGTACTATGCACTTTAATACTGCTGACAGACACATAAATATTGGAAATAGTTTTAGAATTTCTTATCAACATTTATATTACTGGGCTAAGGTTGTCTTTAAATTATGAATTATGGTATTTCATAGGATACTCAGGCTCACTTATAGGTATTTGCTTTTCTTTTCCTTTATTGCTCAACAGTCCAAATAGAGACTAATCTAGTAGTTGAGCATTGGTATTAGCATAGCTTACTTTCTAAGTGTATGTGCTTGGAACATAGTAGATGATTGGTTAATGCTAGAAGCCTGGTTACTGTTCAGGAGTAACCATGGAAGCTCTGTGCACAACAGATGCCACTGCACCCATATCAACTGTTGTAGTAGTAAGTTATTTATTACTAATTCAGGGAAGACAAGAACTAACAAGTATCACTTTGTGAGCTGTGAATTCACAAATATTAACGTACAGAGAACAATGACACAAAAATGTTACAGTAAAAACATAATTTAAAAACTGAGTAAGAGTTCCAGGGGTATGTAATATAGTGCCAATGGCTAAAGTCATATGCATGTGTGTATGCATATGTATATATACATACATATAATTAATGTATGCATATGTGTGCATATATGTACACATGTAATTCATATGTGTATGTATGCAATAATACATATATAATTTGTGTGTACATATGTACATATATTTTAAATCTGTATGTACCATAGAAATTCACCACTCTGTAAACTCTGGACTTAGTTTTCACTTTTCCAGGTCTTAAGAACAATAACATTTTACTTAAAACAAAGTAAAACAAGTTTCATTGTCAGTGACTTTTCAGACTGACTTGTTGATTGTATTAACTGTACCAGTGAAGAAAATATGGGAAATGCTGTGAGTCCAGTTAATTTTCTTAGAATATTAATGCTAAACACAACTTCCAAGGTATCTGAGTATAACTTCCATACTTTTACAATGGGGGAAACAAGTGAGAAGTCGCTTTCCTAATATTCACAGTAGCAACGTTGCAATTAAAAGGCAAATGACCAAACGCTCTGTTCTGTGCTTTTCTCACAAGCCAGAAAATGCCCTAAAAGCATTTAGCTGTTATTTCACTCTCTATTAGCACCATTAGGAAAAACTTCCTATCCGACCGAACCAAATGTGGAGCCGCCTGCCCCCCGAACGCCTGACAGCAAGACAGAGTAGACAGGAAGATGGAGTGATGAATATGGTTGAACCACAAATGTTCAGTATAACAACAAAAAATATGAAATATTTTTCAGCTTGACAAATATGACATCAATTACCTGAGATAGAAGGCACAGGGCATACAGTAGGAAAAAACTTCAGGCAAGCCCTTTAAATCAATAAGGAACCTTTCGGTTTTACTGCTTTGTTACAGTTCTAAGTGAGCGTCAGTCTTGCCAAGAGGGTGTGTTTTAGAGCAGAATGAGCAAAGAGCTCATTATCCTCAGCTAAAATAAATTTAGGCCCTGATTATCTTTTTAATGCATGAGTAAAAATAAAAGGAAACTATACTTGAAAACTCATAATGACCCTGTTAACAGATGATTTCTCTTTAAGAGGTCTCTAAATCCACAGCAAAAGGCTGCCGCATAATGTTAAGATTATGAATGAGAGAGAATAAAGACATGTGGGGACAGGGATAGAGGATGCATAAAGAGGAAATTCGCATCTATCAAGTCTTTGCCTGCAAAGAACAGAGTGACATCAGACCTGGTGACAGCCTGGGGGCACTATCCCTCTAGACCTCAGCATTGCCTGAGGGGGCAGAACGGGCAAGTGACACGGTCACTTGGAATTTTTCCCTATGGAGAAGCTTTGATAGAATTGTTTTCTGTCCATGGAATAATAAACTGGGAATAAAGAAGGGGTGTTTCTTCCTTCTTGGAGCGCCCTTGGTTCTTTTAACCCCTTTTTCATCCCTTTCATACATTTTTCAGGGATGAATAGGAGAGACCCTGCTCGCCACCTCTAGACCACCTGGAACTCCTCTTCACCGGCATGGCCACCTGCAGCTGCTTCCAGAACCTGCCCTGTGGATACTTGGATTTCTCCCCTTTCCATTTAATGACCGTGAGCACCGTCTTAGCCCTCTTCAGCTCCTTCACCTTCGTGTCCTTCACAGCTTTGTACTGTACTAAAATGACGTTGATGTTGCCCCGAGAGGCCATGCTTTCTAGGCCAGCCTTGAGCTCCAGGAGGGCTTGGGTTCCCTGGAGCACGTAGTTGGGGCTTAGGACAACCAGGAGGCGTCTGCTTTTCTGAATGAAGCTCAAGGTCTCATCTGTGACAACTGGGAAAGAAAACACCGTGGGGATTAGTGTTGGCCAAGAACTCCCCAAAAGCAATGGGCTTGAGAAAGTGTAGGGAAGGTAGGGTAACAGCCTGAGAAAGGAGGTGAAACTGCACTCTATTCACTAAATGCCATTTTCCCAGGAAAAATTGGTATTATGCATGAATATTCCACCCCCAAAAGAATTCCAAACAGGCATGAAGCCCAAATGTACTTCTTTGACCTTGGTCTTCAAAGGCATTATTTGGGACATAAGGAATAGATGGATTGTACTGCAATTAATTTCTTCAAAGCATGTGGTATGTCACAGCCCAGTCAAATCAGCTCCTGAGCCCTTTCTCCCAAGGGTACCCATGTAATCGATGCTCTGCTGCCAGTGGGGATTCAAAAAGATACACATTATAGAGTCAAAATCACGGAAATTCATTGTTTTTGTTAATACAGGAGGGCAAGAGTAAGGAATTTTGGTATCGTAAAGTCCCTCTCTGTTTCTAGACACCTCCCCAACTCATACTGGTATCGCTTTGTGGTTGGATTAGGACCTTAAAAAAAATCTAGCCAGCTGAATTTCATTTTGGCTGGCATTACACTCTTAGCTCAGCTTTCTATTCTGCTTTCTGCTCTGGAGCCTAAATTAGTCCCTGGATCTTTCTTTTTAAGCTCCTATCATTACTATGAAGCCATGTGTTTCGGCAGCTGCTCACTGATGTGTCTGCGCTCACTAACAGGCAAATGGCTTTCTTCACGTCAGAAGAGAAGAAGAAAAAACAGGGAAAATGGAAATGCAGCGCTATTTTATTCTGTTTTCAAGGGTTCTGATTAGTTCCTGTCACTACATTCTTGGGAATAATCTATCTTCTCCAGATTGGTTATGGAGGACTGTATAATCCTTTACCTGGGGTTTGGCTAGGAGCCAGCTCCACGGAATGCACTAGTGCTATGGAAAGCTATTTCACGTCTTACCCTACTCCCCTAAGCAGTCATTTGGCCCCTTAATCTTCACAGGTATAAAGGCAGTGGGGAGAGACTTGCAATTAAAATACCATGTACAGTCTGGAGGAGAATCTAAGAATAAGTAATTGTCTACTCCAAGCAGTGCTCCTGGAGGCTGGCCACACGTATGCATGGAAAGAGACCCAGAGGCAGAGAGGACCGAGTATAAGCAGCAGAGAGAATGCAAAAGAACACGATGATCAACCATCAAAAGTAAGACGCAAGAGTAACCATGCAGGACTCGAATTCTTCAAAGAATTATTAACTGCTATCAGAAGGTCTTACATTGCTGTTATACTGTATATCTTCATATATCTTCACACAGTAAATAAATATTTGTTGAATGGCAGTACAAATGAATAAATGATTTAGGATTTTAAGTTCTAAAATGAATGGAATTTATCCTTTGACTGTATAATCAAGTCATCATTTCCTGGCAGAAATACACTGAAGGAGCTATCCACTGCAGAACACAAACATAATGGACTTCTGGGTGATGAGCTCGGGAGAAAAAAATAACTGATCCAGCTAACCCAAAATGAGAACAAACTTTTAAGTCTATTCTGTATCTCAGTGACCCATATAACATTTTTAAAAACATGTGAAACGATTAATATAAACAGGATTTTAGGGGCAGAAAATTAGTTTGTGGTACTGAAGATCAGAGACATTACATGCATTTCAACAGTTTAACAGGACTTCAGAATGCTATTATTAAACATGCTCAAATGGACCATCCCTGTGTGTTACTATGTAGATCTGAAAATTAGAGATGTACTTTTATTTTAAAACATTCAGCAAACAACTCAAGAGTCAAGCTTCCTTCTTTTTTTTGACCTACTGCAATATACTGGCCTTTATAAGATTATAAACTCTATTTCAAATGTACATGGTGACAGAAAGGAAAGGAAGAAACAGACCCAAGGTAAAGGGGAATTTGAGTAGTGCTGGTTTGCTAGAAAACCAAAGCAAAGGAAATTAGCAAATGCCGAAGGCAACTATTCTGATTTATTATCAGTGAGTAATAGAAAGACAGATTCCATGCACTCTTTCTGCATTTTATTTTTAGTATAATTGAGTAAGCCTCACCTTTGTAAAAGTGTTCTGGTTGAACTTAGTCTTTGTAAAAATAATTTTAAGCAAATTAATGCAGATTGGCCTAAAATTTCTAAAAACCTAAGGTGAATAAATAGGACATTTAAAGCTATGGCATTTAGTGGAGCACTGATCCACTGAGCATCCATTCTTAAAACTTACAAGGGAAAACTATTTTAATACCATAAACCACACTTAAATAACCTACATCTTACAATGTAATTTTATTCCTGCTACTACATTAAAGAATTGGACATTAAATGTCCAAAGGTGCCAATATAGAGATACACCATGATTCTCATACATGACCCAAAACAAAGGATCCGCTTGACCCTTCATGGCAGCATCACCAGTACTCATCTGAAATACCTACTTCCCCCAGGCAGACTGTCTCGGTCAAAGATGCACAGCTTGTATCCAAATTCATTCTCCAAAACACCACGGAGGGTCAGCAATACAAATTCTTCTTCTTCTGCATTCCTTGCATAGGATACATAAATATCATATTCCTTTCCATCTAGCAAAAGGAACATAGGTCCGACATAAATTAGGAAAAGTTTTCAATAGTATTGCATTTTTTCTTAAATCAAACATTTGCATATTAGACATTTTCATTTTTCACATATGTGAATGACTTGACAGATTTCAGTGTGATTTCCCACTTGTGACAGGTCTCTAGGCAAAATGACTGTTTTAAGGTGTAATTGCAAATTCATCTGATGAGTCTTCTACTCATCTCACTGCGTTCAGTTTTTAAAGTGGAGAATGAGTGAGGGTTGGCTCATTCAACTATGAAGTAAGAGAATCAGGATGAAGATATTCAGTCATAGGTGCTGGCAATTAAAACCATGCAGAAAGTTTCTAGTTTCTGTCCTAGTATGTCACTCACTAATATATTAGAACCACAAATAGAGCAAAACTTTTAGAAACTGTCTAAATTATTTATACCTGAAAACAACTACAGTTAAAAATATACTTATGTTCAATAAACCAGTCTTTCCCAAAGTTGTCTAATTGTAAAAATCATCTCTCATTAAAAATACTGTGTCTCTTCCACAAACCTATTGAATGAAAACCTTTATGGAGTGGGTCTAAGAATCTATATGTTTAAGTGTTCCATTCTTGTTACTAGGCAAATCTGCAGTAGAAAAGTGTTTCTTAAAATTTAATGTGCACATGAATCATTTGGGAATATTGTTAAAATGTGAATTCTGATTCAGAATAGGGGTTAGACTGAGGTTCTCCTTTTAATAAACTCCCCTTGAAGGCTGATGTGGCTGATGCATGCATCACCCTTGAGTTCAAAGGTGGACCTGTATTGTCCAACACAGCAGACACAAGCACATGCAGATACTGAGCATTTGAAATGCAGCTGGACTGAATTGGGAGATGCTGTCCAGTGTAAGATATAATACATTCAGAGTTTGAAGAATTCTTAGTAACAAAAATAAGACTAAAATATCTCCCATAACTTTTTAATATTTGTTACATGCTATAATGAAAAAAATGGAATATACTGAATTAAATAAGATATATTATTAAAATAATTTTCATGTTCTTTTAACTTTTCCTAATATGACTTCCAGAAAAGTTTAAATTACATATGTGGCTTATATTATATTTCTAGTTAGACAGTGCTGGTCTAGACTAAACCACATATTGAGCCAAGAAAGCAGAATAATATGCATTAGAAAGATTTTCAATAGTAAGGGCTGAAACAGAAGGAAGTCTGATTAAATCTTCCAGTTAATCTAGCTTTTATTGAGCCAACATGTTTTCTAAAGATGACAGTTGAGGAGATTTACATCAAACTTCCATTACTCACCTAAAATGGTTTCATCTGTTCCAAAATGAGCCCGGTAAAATAGGACCATCTCCAGCCAGTAAACATGGTAAACAACAATGAGAATTACTACCAGCAGGACTGTGGCTCCAAACCCACATGCCAGTTCCACTGTGTATCTTGGAGCTATCAATGGAGTGAACAACAAAGAAACAATTGATTTCTGTGCGGTGATCACAGTGACCCATCCTGCAAATGGATGGGTAAGCCAAACAGCTGAGTTGTTCCTCTGACTTGTATGTGTGAACAAGCAGAGATAACACATAGGGTTTAAGCACTCTGTTTTAATACTAGACTGTGGCATATTTATCTTGTTGTTTCCAACACCTGGCAAAGGAGGCACTTTTAACTGTTCAATGACTTGAATAGACTTTAATGGTCTACAAACTAAAACCATCTTAGCATTGGGAAGGATTTTAGACACTCATCTAATTCAGCTCATAAGCTAATACCTGAATGTCCTCAAAAATGCTTTTGAAAAGTGTAACTCCATCCTCTGCTAGTCCATCACTTGGGATGGAATCCTTATAGTACCCAGATTAGACTATGATCTTGGTAAAATTTTAAATATTAGAGCAGTTGAATTGAGTAAAAATTTTAATGTTTCCATTAGTCTTAATTTCATTCTCTTGTCAGTGCCATATGGAAAAAATATAATTGTTTCCATTATATCTGGAAATAAACCTCAAAAATCTTATTGTCATTGGGCAGAAACAGGATATCCACCAAATGTTGATTCTGAAAGTATCTCCCAGGTGTACAGTTCTAGGGTACACACTGCAAAGACTGACTTGCAATATCCGGGTGTGGGCAGATTCCCACATTATCTGTGAATATTTATATCATAAGCACCTTAGCAGCTTCTTTGGAAATATCAGAAATAGAGTGATCTAACTCCTGATTATCTAAAAACTAGATATTAACCTAGCCCTGTAAACAAGGTCTACCACAATCAAATGACCAACTACCTGTCTTATTTACTATTGTCCTTTCATCCAAAACAAAAGGAAGATTTACCTTCGTGCCTTCACTCATGCTGTGACTTCTGACTGGACTAGTCCTTTCCCTTCCTTTAGTTTTCAAGTTCATGCTCAAATGTCATCATTTTTGCATAAACTTCCCTAGAATAAGACTCTTCTTGCAATCTAACCCTGCTCCACAGACATTCCTACTCTTCCCATTCTTTGTAATTCTAATACAACATTTTTCTTATATTGTAATTTGCCTACAAGCCTGCTTCTCCACTCTCTCACTCCCCACTAAACTATCCATTTGCATTCTTCTAGGTGGAGACTATATCTTCTTCATTCATCCTACCCCTAACACCTAGGATCTCAATGTACATTTTCAGATACAACACTTCTGGGTGTTTAAAATAAATCTAGTATTACACTATGTGTCAACAACTTCATTTGGCTGCTCTATTAGCTTGTGATAATGAAGCTTAAAGAGTTTAAAGAAGGAACAAGCCACTTGCTGGATCTAAGACAGAAAGGGTCTCTTCCCTCTTAGAGCTAATGTTCCAGTGCAGTGAGATAAGGAAATAAATATGTAAGACAATATTACATATGATCAGTGCTATAAAGGAAATAAATGAGGGCAATATGACAGAGCTTAACTGAGGGGCTGGGTTAAAGGGAAAGTATATCAGATAAGGGTGGTAAAAAGGCTTCTTTGAGCCCCTGAACATTATAGGTGTTAAGTGTTTGCCAAAGCAAAGCTGGGATTGTTATCCAGCTGCCCCAACTCCAAAGTCCAGAGATTTTTGCACAGCACTACCATGAGATTCAATTATTGATAATATAAATGGTAGAAAAATCCCCTTCTAAAAATAGATATCTGTCCTAAGAGGTAGCCTGTAGGGGAAGCTGAAATTCTCTAATTAAATAGCCAGTCTTAAGAGTTGCAAGTTCATTGTCCTAAACTCAGGATACTAATCCTATTGTAGCGAATAGGTTGGGGCTCAACAGTGCAGAATTATTATCAGTTACTCTTCCATTCAAAATCTCGATCTTGTTCCATCAAAAATGATGCTTTAAAATAAGAAAACTCTATCATAAAATACCAGAAGATATGTCAATAAAGTTGTTGAGAATTTACTGATAAGTTTGGGTGGAATGACAATTGCTGTGTCCCTAGTTATTTCTGAGTACATGTTAACAGTACGCTGTGGTAATTCCCATTGTTATCTTCACTATTTGCTCAGTTATTTTGGCTCTCTCTGGATGGACATTTTGTGACAGAGAGAAAAAAAGTCAGTGGATGCACTTACCTGAAACAGATTTTTAAAAAATGTCAGTAGATATCTTGCTTAATGATCCAGAGATCAATTGCCCTCATAAATTCCCATCTGTCACATTCATTTTACTACTGCCTATTTTATTTCCAGTGGGACTTTTCAGTTGGTTTTGTGTCATACAATTACATATGTCTGTGTTTTGTGGGGATCTCTTGATGGTGTATCAAGAGGTTCCCATGGCTAATTAACTAGTTGAACTCTTCAGATAAATAATCCATATGCCTGAATTTCTAAATGGCTTGAATCACATGCAGGAAGTGCTCTGATATCAACACTTCAATAAAAATAAATAAATAAATCAAGTTCAGTACTGAAAATAAATAAATAAATAAAAATAAAAAAAGTAAAGCTTTGCTGGTTTACAGGGAAAGGGTGGTCCTCAGTCCCCATTTTATGTCTGCCCCAGCTGGTCCTCTGATGCTTCCGCATAAAGAGGATTACAGTGTAATCCCAGACCAAGGGTTTCCAGTTAGGAAGGGGTGGTACAGTTTGACCAAACTGGACTGCTAAATTGCTTATCTTTTTGACTCACTGACAGACTGATTCAGGATATGGTCAAATTTAGTCACTTGCTCTGCTGCTGCTCTTCCCTCCACCAGAATACCCTCCATCCCTTTGGCAGTTCTATAGTAGTAAGTGGCTCCAAAGCCCACATTTCCAGCTAATCACCCTTGGTTAAACCAGTCCAGTACTTCAGCTGTAGTCTTTTTTCCCTGTTTTAAGTTATTGGTCTACAATTTCGTTTCTTGTTGAAAACCTAAGTTACTCTCTTCATCTTCATTATTTTGGTTGGGGCCTTGCTAGCCACTGAGTCTTCCAACCAAATGCTTGCTACGTGGACTTTGAAGTATTTCCTGCCACAGAATATGTTGCTTTTCCTTGCTGGATTGCTGGTGCTGCCTGATAGGTTTTGTAACAATGGTAATGGCCATCTTCTTGGATTACAAACAAAAAGAATGCTTTGTTTAAATGACAGTAAACCAGACAATTGAATTGACTTATAGACCTGATTTGTTTGGCTATCATTGCATATTAAAACTTGTTAGTTTGGACTTTGCTTCTGACCTTATTGAAGGAACTATGCAAGAATAGCCTTCTCTACATAATGTCTACAGTTTTTTAAAAATGAACAATTGGTAGCATGGAGAGGTGATTTATGAGAGAAAGGACAAAGAGAAGGTAAGCCCACAATCACAGGCTTTTTACCTGAAGTTACCCTGGACTGTGGCATAGAATGGGGAAAAACAGATGTACAGTCATTGCAATGAGCTAAGGAGAGAGAAAACAGGACTATGGAGTCTATTGAATTTATAGACCTAGGTGAAGAGAGAAGAAAACTGTGTAGCACTCTAGACATCTAAAAGGGGTTATCTAAAGTCTTTGGAAAAATACAATGGGTGACATTTCACAAGGTCATACAAACAGCTACTAGTGAAAGAAAATCTACCAGGGTAAGAAACAACTACTGGGGAAGTGGGAACTGAAGAATTCTAAGAGCACATCCGGAGCTGGAGGACACCTGAGTTAAGACCACTCAGAGGAAAGAAATTTTGTTTATCTCCCCAACTGTTAGGTAGAGGCCCCAGATAGTCTGTGTCTGAGAAATAGGTGCAGTGAAGACTTAGAGAAAAGGCTATTTTAGACCTATTCTAGCAACAAATAAGCAAGGCACTTCAAAAATAGCCAAGCTGTTAGGCAAGTAAATTAACTATGTATTAGAACAAAACTCAACACAAAACTCAAAAATGCAACATTCATAATGTACTGTATATGATTAAAAAAATAAAATAAAAAGCAAAAAATATGACCCATACTTAGAAGACCAGTCAGCCAACAAAAACAGAATCAGAATAGACAAAGATGATATAATTAGCACATAAGTACTTTAAAATGGGTATTATAAATAAGCTTCTTGACTTTAAGGGGAAAAAAAGCAAAAGGCCATGAACATTATGAAGAGTAAATAGGAAATATCAAGAGACATTTTTGACGGAGAAATAGAAATCCCAAACTGAAAAATACAATTCTGAAATTATAAACACTGTAGACTAAACATCAAAAAATAGATAATCAGTGGACACTAGAAACTATCAAAATCAAAACACAGAGGAAAATAAAGGATGAAACTAATAATAATGAGAACATCAATGATACTGACTGGTCTGTCATAAATTTCATTGTTCTTCTAGAGCAAAAGGAAAGAATGAATGAAAGAATGACCAAAACATATTTGAAGAAATGGCTGAATTTTTTTCAAATTAAATGAAAAACATACACCCACAGAATCAAGAAGTTTAAAGAACATTAAATAAGTATATACAAATAAAAACCAAACTAAAGGATAACATAATTTTGAAAATCAATGACAGAGAGAAAAATCTTAAAATCTGCCAAAGAACATAAAATGAGACACACATAAAGGTTTAATGATAAAAACAAACAAAAACACTGCCTAACTCACATTGGAAATAATATTAGACAGAAGACAAGAGAATGTCATCTTTGAAGAGCTGAATGGGAAAAAAGAAACACTTCTGATCTAAAATTAAGTATTCAGTGAAAATATCAGCAAAGCACCAGAGCAACACAATGAAGAAAAGAAACTCTTCCCAAGAAATTGTGCTGGAACTGGATATCCATATAGAAAGAGATTAAATTTCAAATCCTACCTCACACCATATATTAAAAAAATAATAATAATAATTGGGGATGCATCAGAGACCCAAACAAAAGGTGAAATTATGCGATTTGGGGGGTATGCAAAGATTCCTTAGGACATAGAAAGTAGTTAAACAAAAAGTTAATAAATTATACCTCATCAACAGTG